TTGAACTCAGGGCCCTGGCTCTGTCTCAAGCTACTTTTGCTCAAGGCTAAAGCTCTGCCACTTGAGCCACAGCTCCACTTGTGGCTTTTTGGTGGTTAACTGGAGATAAGCATCTCACAGGTTTTCCTTTTTGGACTGGGTTTTGAATCATGATCCTCAGATCTTAGTCTCCTGAGTGGCTAGTATTACAGGCATGATCCATCAACACCTGGCTGTTTCCATTTTTTTTATTCTTTTTAAATAGTTGTACAAAGAGGTCTCAGTTCAACATGTCCATTTATGAGTACGGTGCATCTTGATCAAGGTCATCCTGATTATTAGTGCTACACTAAAGAAATTGGAACTGAGTAACCTCTTACACTCTGTTTTCCACACTGGTCTTCCTGGGTCAGGAAACATCAGTAATAATTGGAGGTCTTCAACAATATTTTCACATTGCTCTCTGGGGAGATTACTGCCCAAATTTCAACCCTCCCCCAAATGTATAAAATTATATATTTCCCTGAATCCACATGAGCCCTGAATATTATAAATTAATATCTTTTCCAGCTTGGAAAAAGCCATTCCTTAATTCTATAGAAAAACTTCAGTGACAGTAATATCTAAGACCATTTCAGAAAAAAAAAAAAACTGTCCCATAGACGCTGTTTTTACAAGGTTCTTTTAGTGCAACATTTCAGGGGCATATCTGAAACTAATTATAATGTCAAAAGTAATAAAATTTTATTTGGGGTTTATATAAGTAATATTCTCTTTAAAATTATTGTTGCTGAGAAACCATGATTCTTATAGTAATCCAGTTCAATTATATAATTTGTCATAAAGATTTTAACATTTAAAGAAGATGTTAATTTACATTACCCTGTTTTAATTAAAGAATGTTAATATTTTGGCAAACTGGACTTATTTTTGAGTTCCAATTGTTTCTACATATCCTAAGGAGTAAATATGTCCACCTTGAGTATTCTACCCAACATATTTTTGGAATTTGTACTCAAAATTAAGAATATCATGCATACACTGGCATGTCAACTAGAAATTGTTCCTAATTTGGCATTTGTTGATTGGGTCTTGATTTTGTTCCTCAATTTAGGATCCAGAGAGATGCCACTTTGTCCTAATTGCTGGGGAGCCATTAAGAGAACCAGTTGTCCAACATGGTAAGCTCAAAATGGTCCTGATTTTCCTCAGCAACTTTGTTTTTTAGATGAATGTGCATATTTAACACCGCTGGGAAAAGTGGCTTTTTTGACCTGTCTCCCCATCAGCAAATTTAAGGATATCATTTCATCTTTGCTATTGTCAGAGGAAATACATGACGTGGTGATTTATTTTTAATTTCTCTCTCTTTTTTTTAATTGTGAGACTACCGTACAGAGGAGTTACAATTACATGGGCAAGATAATGAGTACATTTCTTATCAAGCATTGTTGCCTCCTCCTTTGTTTCCTCTTCCCATCCCTTCCCATCACTCCCCCCTTCCCCCTTCCCCCCCATGCCAAAGTTGTAAAGCTCCTTTTCGACATAATGACTTGTACATCTCATTGTTGCAATGGGTCCACCTGTATCCCTAGTTAAA